ATGAGCATTTGAATCATGTTTTGCGTGCATTTATAGGTAAATTCGTGGTAGTATACTTCGATGACATCTTGAGTTATAGTAAGGACTTGAATGAGCATATAGAACATCTAAAGTGTGTGCTCGTGGTTCTAAAAAAAGAACAAATTTATGCTAATTTTAAAAATTGTACATTTTGCATGGAAAAGTTGTATTTTTTGGATATGTTGTTAGTGCTAAGGGAATAGAAGTCGATGAAAATAAAATAAAAGCTATTAAAGAATGGCCGACACCTAAAAACATAACTGAGGCTAGAAGTTTCCATGGTTTAGCTAGTTTTTATAGACAATTTGTTAAGAACTTTAGCACACTTACCACACCGCTCACGGAAATTGTTAAAAAGAGTGTAGGATTTAAATGGGGCGTGGAACAAGATCTTGTATTTAAAGCTATTAAAGATAGATTGTGTAAAGCACCGGTTTTAGCGCTGCCTAATTTTGATAAAGCTTTTGAGATTGAATGTGATGCGTCGGGAATAGATATTGGTGCTGCTTTGATGCAAGATGAAAGACCAATTGCGTACTTCAGTGAGAAACTAAGCGGGGCATCACTCAATTATCCAACATATGACAATGAGTTGTATGCGATTGTCCGAACTTTCGAGACTTGGCAGCATTATATATGGCCAAAGAAGTTCATGATCCATACTGACTATAAGTCCTTGAAGCATTTGAGGGGCCAAGGGAAGCTAAACAAGTGACATGCACGCTGGATGGAATTCATTGAGACATTCCCGCATGTCATCCGGTACAAACAATATAAAGAGAATGTAGTAACAGACGCGTTGTCTTTGAGTGCGAAATTGCTTGGATTTGAATAGTTAAGGACATGTATATGAATGATCAGATTTCTCTAATATATATGAGTCGTGTAGTAAAGGGGCTGTTGATAGGTTCTTTAGACATAATGATTATCTATTTCGGAAAAATAGGTTATGTGTTCCTAAATATTCAATGAGGGAGTTGTTGGTAAGAGAATCACATAGTGGGGGTTTGATGGGTCATTTTAGGATTAAAAAGACTTCAGAGATATTAGAACATTTTTATTGGTCTAAAATGAAAAGTGATGTTGAACGTGTTTGTAGTCGATGCATAACGTGTAAAAAGGCTAAATCAAAGACTTTACCACAAGGATTATATACACCATTACCTGTACCTAGTGAACATTAGGTTGATATTTCTATGGACTTTGTTTCCTACACCTAGTAAACCTTGGGTTGATATTTCTATTGACATTGTTTTGGGTTTACCTAGGACTAAGAAATGACGAGATTCGATATTTGTGCTGGTAGATAGATTTAGTAAGATGGGATACTTCATTCCTTGCCATAAGACTAATGATGCTACGAACATTGCAGATTTGTTTTAAGGAATAGTACGTTTGCATGGGGTTCCTAAGTCATTTTTGGTGGGTTTTGTGGAATAAGTTAGGAACTAAGCTATTATTTTCTACAACTTGTCACACACAAATCGATGGACAGACTGAAGTAGTTAATAGGACTATGATCCAATTGCTACGCACTGTGATTAATAAGAACTCGAAGAGTTGGGAAGAATGTTTACCTTTCATTGAGTTTGCATATAATAGGGTCATACATTCTACTACTTCGTTTTCACCATTTGAAATTGTTAATGGTTTTAACCCACTAACACCATTGGATTTGATTCCTTTGCCTGTTAATAAACGTGGTAGTCTAGATGGAAAGAAGAAGGCAGAATTGGTAAACGCATTTCATGAAAAGGTAAAATTACAAATCAAGCAGAAAAATAAGCACTATGCTTCACATGCAAATAAAGGACGGAAGAGCGTTACATTTGAACCTGGTGATTGGGTTTGGCTACATTTGAGAAAAGAGCCCTTTCCAGAACAACAAAAGTCGAACTTGCAGCCACAGGAAGATGGTCATTTTCAAGTCATTGAAAGGATCGACGATAATGCTTACAAGTTGGATCTTTCTGGTGAGTATAATGTGTCAGCTACTTTTAATGTAATTGACCTTTCTTTTTTATTCGGGTTCAGATTCGAGGACGAATCCTTTTGAAGAGGGAGGGGATGATGTGATCTAATGTACGGATACAACGAGTGTGAGCCCGGGGAAGGATTCGTTGATCATCTAAGGAGGACTGATGACTCGATCAAGGGCAAAGCGGATTTCCTTTTTCACGGGTTTCCTTATTTCATTAGAATTCTATTTTCATCGCAATCTTTTGCAATCCTAACAAGTTATTTCCAGTTCAACTAGGATTTTAGGCTTTTCCTATAAATATTGACATTATATTTATTGTATGGACAACCTACATTATTATTATTGAGAATTAATCGTGAGACTTTTAGCTTTCAAATCTCTTGTTCTTCATTGAGCAATTACAAACTTATCAAGAATCGATTTCTTGTGGCGTTCAAACATTCGGGTTAGATTCATAAGTCGTGTAATCAAGATGTCAACTTATTGTCGACGATTGTGTTGATTGCTTGGTTCATTAATTTTGGGTTGAGTCCAAAATCTCGATTTATTGGCTTTTTTAGGTTGGTTCTAATCTCGTTGTGGGTTGCGTAGCTACCATTGCTACGTGGTTCTCATCAAATCAATTATGACAATAAATCATATCAAACATTAAGTCTATCTTTAGACCGACTAAATGTTCACATAAAAAGAAACTTTGTAATTTTCTCATACTTATTACCACAGGTATGCAACTAATTCGATCAAATATTGACATTCATTTGTATCGGTCAACAGCCGCATGAATTACGTACACATAACCTTACTAATATTTCAAATAAATTAATGACAAAAGAGATTACTTTGATAATATATTGTTTCAATTAATCTATTTTAGAAAATTAGTAATTCGAAAGAAACTTTGGTACCAAAATTTGAATTTTGATTATTCCTTATCTTTTATTTTCATTTTTCTTTTGTTTTGACAAAAAAAATAAAAATTGGATAGAACCTGAGCACTGCAAGGCCCAAAACTGGGCGCCGTAGCACCCAAGCAACACGGGTAGCCCTTGGGTGCTGCAACGCCAAACACAGTGCTTTGGATGCTCTAGATGTCCTTGTTCATCCTTCATTCCGAAAATTTCCTTAAAAAAAAATCTAAAATTTTCAATTTTAGGGCTAAAATTCACATTCTAAAATTGAGGAATTCAAAGTATGAATTTTAACCCAAAATTCTTGCACGAAAATTTCTCAATTTCTCAATTTATAGTTAAAATTCACATTCCAAATTAAAGAATTCTAAAATTTAATGAGTGAATTTCAACCATAAAATTCTTTCTTGAATTTCAATGATTTAATATGGAGTTGGCTCTGATACCACTTGTTAGAATTTTAATAAAATTTTAAATTCTCAAGAACTTTAAAATCTAATTATTTTATTGTCAAAATCTTCTAGTCAAATCATCGAGAGAATTATTAAATACGAAACATACATTAATTTATTGAGAATGTTTTTTTAATACTGGATCTTAATTTCAGATCTTGAATATTTATTTTTTTGATTTTGGAGTTTTTGATCTTGATTTTGACTTCTTGCTCCATAATCTTGATTGCCTCAATTCTTTTTTCTTAATTGTTGATTTCTTTTTCTTGATTGTGAATTTTAGATTTTTCTCTTCAATATGTTTTCTCTTGTATTATTGTGTTAATGAGATGACGCAAAGAATGAAAATCACATATGTATTAGAGACCATAACCCTATTTATATTTTTATATATATTCGGCACATTGTCAAATACAACTCTAATGGATTCAATATCTACACATATAATTCGGTCGACAATTTATTTAGATGTCAAAGGTCCAGTTATTTAATTATTTATTAGATCACTTTAATTTTGAACTTAACTTTAATATAATTTTTATACACAATTAATTACATATATCCATTCACATGTAAATTAAATATTTTTTTTCCAACAGTACATGCATTAATGTGGTGTTTCTAAAAAAATGCAGAATTTGGATTGAGTATATATATCTGTAGGGAAGAAAATATTCTCGTCGGTGGAAGTTTTCCTAAAGTTAAGGCTTAACTTAGGGAGAGGAGGTAGTCCTAGAGCATTTGCAATTGGTACTGAGGTTGACATAATTTTTGTTTGCAATAATAATTAGAATAATGCTACTTTGCCCCAAAAATGTGACATAATGGTTGACAAAATAAGTGTTGACAAAATGTGATTGGTTGAAAAATATGGAACGGGGAATGTTTCCAAGGAAATAAATAATATAAATAAAAAGGAGAAATTAATATATAGAAAGAAAGTGATAATGAAGGGAAAAAAAATGTTTTAAAATAAACTATGAGAAAAAATGACAACTTTTGTAGGAAAATCTTGGCAAGCATACAAGAATTCGGGAAAATCAAGGAAATATATATATATTCCATTGTTGAAAAACAAATAATATTATTGTCATTAGTGTGATCATATGCGATCGTGGATCATTTCATTAATTATCTAACGAATTAAAATATATTACAGTAAATATATCTATTGTCACTGATTATTACTAACATTTGTTTGAGTTTCATTTTTTTGTAAATATAGATTTTGTAATAGTAATTTGTTGAAAATGTGTTGTTAAGAATTAAAAAAAAAGAATTTATATATATAATTATTTTATTAGAAAAACTTGATTGAAAAAAATAAATTGAATTAAAGAATTGTGTTATCGGTCATGTCAAGAGTTGTTTTTAAACCTGACCAATCATACGGAGACAGGAAGTGAAAACCAGTGACAGTCCACGGTTTTGAAATGTTGTTGGCGGATCCACCAATTTTCTGTTTCTATCTATTTCCCCCAACAATTACACATTAACTCATTGGAGGACTAAAATTTCCCTACTAAAATTTGTTGAACCCAGAATTCGATTAAAAGTTGTGCATTCAATACAAGTTTCAACAAGATATTACATATTGTCGTCCCTTTCTCAGCTAAATAAATTTTCTCAAAAAGTGAAATGGGCCAAAAACATCAATGTGAAAAACATAAAGGGAAAATTAGTAATTATCTTCTAGTACTTCTACTTGGGGGAAAACACTCCTCCGAGAATCAACCCTTCTTATAGAGTAATGGCGATTCAGTTGAAACAACTCAACTTTCTACGAGTTTGACCTTCCTGGTATTCTTTAAATCCTTCTCTCTCTCATGGCTTCATCTTTTTAAATAAAAGTGAGAACTTAGATTTTGAGTTCTTTATGATTATGTTTAGGATAGGAAAATTAAGAATGTTCTTTATTTATTTATTTTTAACTTGAGCATGCGAATTTCTGTATTTATCTGATGTTTTTGAGGTATTACAATTAGGTATTGCTTCTTGATTTTTTTTTTCTTTCTTTTCAGTATTTATGTAAATTTTTGAAAGCTTATATGCTTTTCTCAAGTGGTTTTAACCGGGACGAGTGACAGTGAAATTTGGGTATTTCAGAATTGTTTGAGCAGCATCTACTTGGACAATGGCCAGTGGATCTCTTATTTAATGGCTTTTATCATCTTCTTTTCATTTTTCTTGAATTTTGGTGCTCCATATATAGTGAAGTTGTTCCAATGTATTAAAAATGTTGCTTGATGAATTCTTGTTATCTGCATTTTGCCTAAGAATTAAGAGTTCTACTTCTACCTTTGTCTGAAAACCAGATGATGTTAGATCAAGTATTCTTTGATTAATAGAGCCTCTAAAAATAAAGTTTTTTACATTAAACGAAATTCTGTGAATGCCCTTTTATGGAGAGTACATTAGCCAAAAAAAATTCAAGAATAAGCCACCATCTATGGATAATCTTTAATGTAGTTGAATAGATTCATCTAGCATCAGTAGCAAAGGTGATTCATTTTGTTATCTTATGCATAATAGCTTCAGTATCTGCATCTTATAGATTTGAAAGGTCTCTTTTATATTTATCTTATACATTAACAAACACCTGTATGTGTTCACAGTTTTGGTAACTCGAGTCTGCTAGTATTATTGCACAAGAGAAGTTTGTCTATGAATGCTTCCTTATTTTTATTGTGCATCACAGTTGATGATTTATACGGATGATTGCGGGATATCTGTTTCGTTTGAGTTTTCGTACACACGGACTAGAATACCCGTGTAGTAAAAGGGCACTATTTTTCAGTGTGTTCACAGTTTTCCCCCCTTACTTGCATTGAGGAATGTTTTACTTTTACAGCTGCTGTCTAATATTAGAGCTTAAGTTGATCGAGTTATCAAAACCTTCCCAAAACCATTTTTGTAGTTACGAACAATTGATGTAAATTTGACATTAAGCCTCTTTTGAGCCCCATTTTATCAAAAATTCATTTTTTTCAAAATTCATTTTAAATCGCACATTCTCCAATAAATAATTTTACACGTAAATCGAAAACTTTTTCTTATTTTTTAAGGACACATTCTCCAAAAAAACACTATTCAAAAGTGCATTCTTTCCCCAAAATGTGGCTCAAACAAGGGCTAAATTTTGGTCACTGATTACTGAAACCATTTGTAAAAATCTAATCAACTTACCAAGAGGGACTGTTTATTGCAAGAAACAAAGCTTCCAAATTGGCATATCCTACACGGACCTTGCAAATCCTAGGGTTATCTGTTGGTTGATAAAACATCATTCTTGACACTGTTGATACCTATATAAGATATACGTTATGATGCCACTATTCTAGTATATTGTTTCTCCTAGTATGCTTTTTACTTATAAACCATATTGTCTTCCATTGTTTACTCAGTGGTTCATTGCTGGATGAATGCTTTTGCACTTCAAAGGTAGCTGAGGAGTCCATTCTTGTCAGTGTAATATTCCACATTCTTCTTCAACAATATATATCGATTTTTTTTCCCTGTACAACTATATATACAGGACTCAAAGACTTTGCATCGGTCATCTTTACAATGTCTTCATTGACTAAGTTACGCTGTATTACCATTGATGTTACTGGCACACTAATAGCTTACAAAGGAGAGCTTGGTGACTACTATTGCATGGCTGCAAAATCGGTAGGACTGCCCTGTCCTGATTATAAACGAGTACATGAGGGATTTAAACTTGCTTATACAGAGATGGCAAAGAAACATCCATGTTTTGGGTTTGCAGAAAAGATGCCCAACATTGTTTGGTGGAAAACGTGTGTAAAAGATTCTTTTGTCAGGGTAAGACTTACGCAAAATTGTTGATTGTGGATAGGAATGAGGGAGGTTCTTACTAGTTTTGATGCCTTCTCAGTTTTTCTTGTGAGCATTTATCTTTCTGTTCACAGGCAGGATATGATTATGATGAGGAGACTTTTGAGAAGATTTTCAGACGCATATATGGGACCTTTGGTTCTTCAGCACCTTATACTGTATTTCCAGATTCCCAGCCATTCTTGAGATGGCTCCGTGGAACGGGTGTGGCAGTTGGAGTTGTGAGCAATGCAGAGTATCGGTATCAGGATGTAATCCTTCCAGCATTGGGTTTACAACAGGTAAATATGCAATTAGGCTTGATTTGTATATTTGGCCCAAACTGAATATATCCTTAGCTTGATGTATAATCTTCACAATTTCTTGGATTCAGGGATCTGAGTGGGACTTTGGCGTGTTCTCAGGCCTCGAAGGTGTAGAGAAGCCAGACCCCAGGATATATCAGATAGCCCTGGAAAGGGCTGGAAATATTGCTCCTGAAGAAGCTCTGCACATTGGAGACAGCATACGCAAAGACTACTATCCTGCAAGGAGTGTGGGAATGCAGGCTTTATTGTTAGACAGATTTAAAATACCCGAAGCTGAAACTTGGAGGAAATCTGGTGCTACTGTATTACCTGACTTGGTGGCTGTAAAAGATTGGCTTTCTTCTGAACATTTGAAATGCTAAGCAGCAGCTTGTACTCTGTTATTCACTATCATGTTCATGTTTGCTCCCCCCCAACCACCCCCACCCACATAACTGGAGTTGTATCAGTGTAACAGATGGAAATATTGGTGATAAATTTATAGAGGCATTGTGCCTTAAATGTTTAGGAGGGGAAATTTTATTCCAAATGAGATCTGAATGTTTTTGGAATTCCATAGCATCCTCATTTCTCTACTTTTATTAATACTGATATGTTTACTGACATTCTGCAAACTCCCTTCAAATTGAGTAACCAGAGTACTAACAGATCCTAAAAGTGTCTTTTAGCAAGAGAGCGCAAACTTCTCTGTTTCCAGATTAAACTCAAAGACTTAGTTGTAAGACCTTAAAATTGAAAATATCTCGACTTCAGGATACAAGGACTTAAATCAGTCAAGTACACTTGGAACAAAAAAGGGTCCTGCGAAGAGGAAAATCATTCAGGTTTTGGGTATCTTACTATTAACTATACAGGTTATATTTACGAGTTTCTAGTTGCTAAGAAATAATCAATGATACTATAACATATGGGCCTGCTTCTGTGGCCGAAGCCTAGCACGCACTTCTGCCTGAATTTCTAGTGCTAACTCATTTAAGGTTACTAGGTCGATTTCATCGCTTGTAACTTCATGTAGTTCTACCCAATTCATCTTGACATCTCAAGGTGATACTGGTCTCCAGAGGCAGATTTTTCCTAAGTAACTCCTCTTCAAAACTTCAGAGTAGCGGTCAATCATCACCTTAGAATCTGCACCAGAGACTCGAGATGAAAATCAAAACAGAGAAAAGGAGAGGTGGGCACACAAATTTGTAATGTAAAGGTTCCTCTGACAATAACCTGAGGAAGACTATGCTTTAGTATCTTTAAGTATCTTCTTATAGTCTTCCTTTGAGAAAGAACATGTGTTACAATCCGTTTTATACTATTTAAAAGTTAAAATTATTTATTCAAATTCAAAAGTTTGATTGGTCAAAGTCAAAATCCAATAAGGACTTAAGTGGAACAAAATGATTTTTATGGGGATTAATTTGTAATTATAAGAATTAAAGGGCTCAAAAGTTATAGAGTAATGCCATTTAGTCCCACTGATAGGAATGTAAAATACACATTTTATATCTTTATTTAATTCGCTCATATGAATATTTTATGCCTAAATGTACTTAGTATTATCATATTTTAGTTTATGTGGCAATTCGATGGATATGACGTAATTTGGAAGAAATAAGGGGAAAATGACCAAAATGAAAGAAAGTGAGAATTCGCGAACCAAAGTGCAAATATTCAAAAGTTGTATCGAACCTCACGATAAAGACTTGAGAATGTTAGAGGCCAATTGGATGAAGAAAGAAGTCACAGGGATGAAATATAGCCAAAACATTCTCACATATCAACTTTCAAGTTGAAAAGTTTTGTATCGATTTTCAGCCTCATATTGAGACCAATTTTGGACATGGAAAATGATCTACTTCGAAGATAGTTTCTGAATCAAAGTTGTATCCCTTTGAGTTAACTTTCCAACGCTTCTTGAATCGTCTCAATCGGATATCGGGAGAGAAATTTATGTTAAAAATAATTAGAGCTGTTAAGCTGTCGAAAATTACGTGAGGCGCTCGCCCTCGCCTATAGAAGAGGCGTGAGCCCCAGACCAAAAATGAATAGCCTGAGGCTTCCAAACCCCCCCAGGCGCGCCCTAGGTTGCACTAGGCGCGCGCCAAGGCTAAAAAGGGAAAAGACCTAATTTTTCTTATTTTTGTTTAATTACTTATGGAAACTTCTTAGATGCTTTTTTCTTGACTTAAATTCGACCTGAAGACATCAGAACGCCTCCAACCTATTTTCTCTCTATTTTTCTTATATCTATCACGTGTAACTAACTCTTGGTGCTTAATTGAAGGATACCGAAACCTTGGAAAACATTATAACTGTGAGATCCACATATTTTCATTGTTTAATTTATATTTTCAGTATTGAATATTCTTCTGTGCATAATTTTATGATTGTCATGTTTGATTGTTAAGAGATCTATTAGTTTTTCATATATTGCAATCTATAGCTAAGTTAAATCTCAAATCTGTAATTGTTTGAATCATTTAACTTGTGAAGCACAATGATTTGATAATTTTCTACGATAGATGTTATTGAATCTTAAGAAGAATGTTTAAATAAATTGAATACAATCGCTGGTGTTTATATTATCTAGTTCATCAATTTCTCTATTATTCAAAGCTATTATTAAATTGAATATTTAGCGCTGGTCTGAGATTATTTGATAATTAGGGTTAATTAGAACGCTGGTTTATGATTAACTAAAATTAAGGAGAAATATGAATTTATTCCAACGATGAATATTGTGAATGTGGATTGATTATTTTTTGTAGATTGATGCATAGTTATAAATCTCCAATGGTGGAAGTTGACTTTGATCAAGACTCGTTTTATTGATTTAATACAACTCGCTAATTTACATTATTATTTGTTATAAGATTGATTTCATTATAAACGAAACCCTCCCAATTGTTATACGAAATATAAATTGTTAAATTGCACACTCTTCATGGGATCGACCCTTACTTCCATTACTACATTAATTTTAGAGGTTTAATGACTATTTTTGGGTGCCTACGACAGCACACGACCTACTGATATTTAGCACCAGTTTTAAGTGGCAATTAGATGTCAATAAATGTTAGACTTATTTAAATGCAAAATCAAAACATTCATTTAATTACACATGTCAAGTGTGGCCACCTACACTATTGCATTAGCCGAAACCCTCGTTGCTAGTCACACCATTTTAGATTTGATCAAATCAATTTTATCGGTCAACCATTTGTTTGGATCTCTACTGCTAATTTATTAAGGGTTTGGGACTTTCATTGGTACAAATTAAAGGTTATAGTAAAATCTGCAAAAAAAAAAAAAAAAAAGGTTAGGGACCGTTACTACAATTTTCCCTTTATACTTATTAATCTAAAATTATTTGGCTGATATTTAATTTAATTTGGTGAAATTAATTATGTGAAATCTTGACATCTGGTTGTGTGAACACAAGATGTCAAATGCGACAGGGTCAAGTACAATTAAGTCAAAATAAAGAATTCTTGATTTTATCCCTTTAATTAATTAAAAATTGCCAAGATAACATTACAGATGTTGCTTTCTGTTGGCCCAGAAAAATGTGACGCTTACGTGGACAACAGATGTCGGGCCCCACTTTTTCATAAGGGAGATTATGAGTCTGTGTGCGGTACCTGTTCTTTTAGTGCTAAATAAGGATGGAAAGTGGCATATATGTGTTGACAATCATGGCATTAACAAGATAACAGTGAAATACAAGTTTCCCATTCCACGGTTGGAGAACATGTTAGACATGCTTGGTGGTTCTAAGGTCTTTTCAAAAATAGATCTTTGCAGTGGTTACCACCTGATCCACATTAACCAGGGGATTAATGGAAGACTGCTTTAAGAGTAAAGATGAACTTTATGAATGGTTGGTTATGTCATTCAGGCTGTCAAATGTCCCGAGTACGTTCATGAGAGTGATGAACTAGATTCTTCGTCCTTTTATTGGATCTTTTGTTGTGATTATTTTGATGATATACTCATTTAAAGCAAGTCCAAAGAGGATCACCTAGTTCACTTGGGGCAAGTTTTAGATGTTTTGAAGGAAAATCAGTTGTACATCAACCTGAAGAAGTACACTTTTTGTACACATAAGCTGTTGTTTCTAGGTTTTATGGTTTGTGAAGATGGTCTACAGATGGATGAAGAGAAGACAAGACTGCAATCCGAGATTGGCTAACACCAAAAACAGTTTCTGAAGTAAGGAGTTTCCATGGCTTGGTAACTTTCTATAGGTGATTTATTGGTAACTTTAGCACTATTGTGGCAACACTCACAGAATGTTTGAAGAAGATGAGATTCAGTTGGCAAGAGGAGCAAGATAAGAGTTTTGCCTTCATTAAGTAAAAGTTGTGCACAACTCTAATTTCAGCCTTGCCAAGTTTCAAAAAGATCTTTGAGGTAGAGTGTGATGTTAGTGGTATGCGTGTTGGGTCTGTCCTTTCCCAAGAGAAGAGACCCATAACTTTCTTTTCAGAAACGTTAAGTGATGCTAGGCAAAAGTGGAATACTTATGAGCAGGAATTCTATGTAGTTGTAAGGGCTTTGAAGCAATGAGAACACAACCTCGTACAGAATAAGTTTGTGTGGTTGGCTTACCAAGCCCTGAAGTTTATTCATAGTCAGAAACATATCAGCAGAATGCATGCTCGATGGGTGACTTTCCTCCAGAATATCCTTTTGTAATTAAACATAAATCTGGGAGTTCAAATAGAGTTGTTGATGCTCTTAGCCGAAAACCCTTGTTACTAGTCACACTGACATAGGAAATTGTTGGATTTGAGTGCCTGACAGAATTCTATGCAGATGATCCGGACTTTAAGAAAATTTGGAACAAGTGTGTGAATCGTGAAGCAATACATATTTCTATATCAGTGATGGATATTTGTTCAAGGGCAACCAACTTTGCATTCTCGTTTCATCTCTACGTGGAAAGTTGATTCGAGATCAGCATGGTGGAGGTCTAAGTGGACACTTAAGGGTGTGACAAGACAATAGCACGTTTGGAAGCTGGATATTATTGGCCACAGTTGAAGCGAAAAGTTGGAGTTATAGTCAGAAAATGTAATACTTGTTAGGAGTTAAACGGTCAAGTACAGAATATCGGGTTGTACATGACACTTCCTATCCCTCAAAACATAAGGCAAGATCTTGCTATGGGTTTCGTTTTGGGGTTACCTCGTACTCAATGTGGGTGTAGATTCTATTTTTGTGGCGGTTGACAGGTTCTCCAAGATAACTCACTTTATAGCTTGTAGGAAGACCTCGGATGCATCACATATTGCTAAACTATTTTTTAGGAAAGTTGTTCGATTGCATGGAGTTCCCAAGTCTATCACATTAGATCGAGATACAAATTTTGTGGGATATTTTTGTATTACATTGTGGAAGTTGTCTAGGACAAGTTTGAATCGAAGCAGCACTGCCTATCCCCAGACTGATGGATAGACCAAAGTCACTAACCGTACCCTTGGAAATATGTTCGAAGTGTTTGTAGAGATATACCCAAACAATGGGATCTTGCACTAACTCAGGTCGAGTTTACATACAATAACGCAGTTCATAGTGCTAAAGGAAAGTCCCCGTTTGCTATTGTGTATACAGATGTTCCTTATCATGTTGTGGATTTGGTGAAGTTGCCCAGGGGCAATAGTAAAAGTGTGGCTACTAAACATGTGACAAAAAAGGTGCTAGCAGTCTGTGATAAAGTAAAATAGAAATTGGAAAAGACTAATGCAAGTATAAGGTAGCTATAGATTTACATCAACATGATAAACAATTTCATGAAGGAGATTTAGTGATGGTGTTTCTGAGAAATGAGAGATTTCCCGTTGGTACTTACAACAAGATAAAACCAAGAAAGTATGGACCTTTCAAAGTGTTTAAGCGGATTAACAGCAATGCCTACATTATTGATCTACCAGCATCTATGAGCATTTCTCGAACGTTCAATGTGGTAGATTTGTATGAGTTCCATAAAGATGACGAGTCTTTATATCCAGATTATAACTTGGGGTCGAGTTCTTCGGAGGTGGCAAGGACTGATGTAGAACATATTGTTGAAGAATTGGATCAAAATGGGGAAGATGTAAGTGTAGAGAGAACATGTGAATTTCAATTTGGAATCATAATACTATTCCGGAAAGAGGACGACAATATAAGTAAAACTCATAAGTATGGCAAGATGTACGATGAATTTCGGCTATCCAAGTTCATTTCGGACTCGAAAACTAAGTTTTAAAAGTTTAGCTCTATTTTTGTCATTTAATTTATTTCGAATTATTTTTTTAATTTTAATTTGTTTAAACTGGATTTTCATTAATTTTAGTCTTATTAAACTAATTTTTCATGTAAACCCTTATAAATAAAGGGTTATTATTATTATCATCATCATCATCATCATCATCATCATCTTTCATTAATAAAATTCGTGAGTTTAATTTTTCATAATTTGATGGATTCCAAAATGTGGCTACGCCAAAAGGTTTTAACTTGAATTTCTTGTTTCACGCTACGCCAAATTTTGAGTGTATAGGTAAAATTTAGTGAATTTTGAAAATCATTTTACACTTATTTGGTAAATACTAATCAAATTTTGTTAAGATACAAACAGACAATAAATACAAAATAAAACTAATTCATCATCTACGGTTTTCAAAACATAATAACAGCAGTCAATGCACATATTTTATAATAGACTATTACCCCCAATTCCAAAGATCACCGTAGGTATTATCAGATAATGAATAATCTATAGGTGGAGGGACTAGTTCTTGCCAATAAACATCATTGTTCATATCAAAATAATCTAAAGTCAAGGGTCCAGGGTTACTGACGACTGTTGAAACTGAGGCTTCATTAAAATTTTGTTCTTGGACTAGTTGTTGATTCAGTTTGTGATCTTCTTGTAGCTGCTGCTGCTGCTGCTGCTGCTGAGCCTGAGTCTGAGATTTTTCAGTAAATGCTACTGAAACTGGCTTTGAAGTTGGAACCAAACAATCAACCTGCTGGTTGGTGAGTGAAAAATTTAAGTTCATCGGCCCTTTATAAGCTCCGGTGTGACAGCCAGTAAATTGTTGCACCAGGGCCCGAAAATTGCTGGTGCTTGCTTTGAGGATTGTTGTGGATGTCTTCTTAGATGCTCTCGACCGTCTTCTGACTGGCTCGATTAAATCGCCATTTTTCGGATCAGTGGGCATACTGATATTTTCTTGATTGTAGGGGCGCACCAATTTATTATCAGAGCTTTGCATGGTTATGAAGGTTCTGATCGCGCTCTCTCGTTTTCTTGTTCCTCGATCTCTTGGGAAGAGTGGAACCTCTGCGTTTACGTAGCGAAGTCAGTCATCATCCTAGTTAAATGTTGACCTTTCTCGTCAAATTCATCAGGTTGGAGAAGAGAGAGAGAGAGATGATGATGAGTAAAGACCAAGAAACGAGTTATTTCGAGGAAATAACGTTAACCCTTCTTATTTGATGATAAGGTAATCACGTATGTGTGATTATATTATTCCTAGACTTATCTTAGGTAATTAACTAAAAAGTATAATAATTAATTAATTAACCGTTCTTATTTTTGATGAAATAAAGCTGATTTCTTCTTCAGTAAAACTTAAAATTCCAAACTAGATGTAATCTCTTTAACTTTAAGATGGTGTTTGGTGGGGATTAAAATTAGATTTTTAGTAGTTTTTGATAGAAATTTTTGAAATGTGCTATTGAAAAGATGTGGGACCCATAAAAAATGTGGTTAATATTGATTGTTTGACTTTGACTTGAATTAAAATCAGATTAAAACTCAGCCCAAACAACCCGTATTCAGAATAAAAATCAAAGAGATGTAAAACTAATATAACGAAGAAACTTCAATTCTACAACGATCATTCATCGAGATAACTTAGTATTTAAGAGTACTTATATTTGCAAACATAAATACTAATAAAGGACCACACAATGTTCAAGCCAAAGATTTTCTTTTGTACTTAGGAAAATTGTAGCAGCGGTCCATAACTTGTCCAATTTTTGCAAACTTTACCATGACCTTCATTTTGTGTCAGTGAAGGTCTCAAACATTTCATAAATGTGCAGCTGGACGTTCATTTGACCGTTAATTGACCAAATTGAAAGAGTAAAAGGGTAACTTTGCTATTTGATCCCATAAAACAATTAAAATAGCTAAACAAAATAAAAAAGTTTAAAAAAAAAAACTATTCATCTCCTTCTTCACCCCATCCCCACTCCTCCCACCCAAACAAAAGACTAGAGCCACCAACGCCCACTGCAATTGCTGCCACACCTGTCCCGCTTCAATTATCCTCGTTTGGGACCGCCACCACGACTATCACATCTTTCACCGCACCAACAACAGGTCCCAGCAAGGTAGTTTTCTCATTTCTGCAGCGCTTCCTACCTCTGCCCAAAGCCTAAAAGGTAACCCATTTTTTTGCTAAGAGTTCCAAGATTTTCTTGAAACGGTTGTAACAGTTCTCAATTCTAAAAAAAAAAATGTTGTGAATAAATTCAAAAGAGATGACAGATTACCAACCATTTCAGAATTCAACCATTTTCTTATAGCTTAGGTCACAACAATGAGTTTAAATTAACGTCCAAATTAAAGTCCAAATTACCATCTGTTGGTTTAGCCCATGATAATTGCACATACTCAATTTTGGTAACTAGTTACTGCAAGAAGAATGGGTTCCAACTCAATGTTGCTACATTCACTACACTGAACAATGCATTTTGTCGAAATGGAAGATTGCAGGATGCCTATGAGGTGTTTCATATAATGATTAAAATTGGGTGATTAAAAAGGTTGATAATAGAGTTTTTGGTATGACAGGTTGCAATTTGTTTTGTTTTGGGATGGAAGTAGAGGGGGGGATTGGTGGGGAAGGCGGCGGTGGAGGCGGAGAGTAGTAGCGATTAGTTGTGGCTATGGAAGAGCAATTGATTTTGTTTTGGGATGGAGGTGGAAATGGAAATTGGTAGGAAAGACGAAGGTTGTAGCGGCGGAGAGTGGCAGTGACGGGTTGTGGCTATGGAAGAGCAATTGGTTTTGTTTTGGGATGGAGGTGGAAATTGGTGGGGAAGGCAAAGGTTGTGGCTGCGGAGAGTTGTGGTTGTGGAAGAAAAAGGAGGTCGGGATTAGTTCTAATTCGATTTTGGTCCGGTGAAGTTGGGGTGCGGTTAAGGGAGATCAACAAAATTTTTTTTTGTTTTTTTTAATTGTTTTATGTGAAATAATAATGAATTTATCATTTTGCCCATTTTAGATTTGATCAAAATCAATTTTATTGGTCAACCATCCATTTTGACCTCTATTGCTAATTTATCAAAGGTTTGAGACCTTCGTTGGCACAAATTAAAGATTATAGTAAAATCTGCAAAAAATGAAAGGTTAGGGATCGTTGTTGTAATTTTCCCTTTATACGTATTAATCTAAAATTATTTGGCTGATGTTTAATTTAATTTGGTGAAATTAATTCTGTGAAATCTTGACATCAAGTTGTGTGAACACGAGATTTCAAATGCGACGGGTTCAAGTACAATTAAGTCGAAATAAAGAAATCTTGATTTTATCCCTTTAATTAATTAAAAAATTGCCAAGATAACATTACAGTCTACAGATGTTGCTTTTTGTTGACCAAGAAAAACGTGACGCTTACGTGGACAATAGATATCGGGCCCTACTTTTTCGTGGACAATAGATGCTGGGACTACTAACGCCAACTCAAGTAAATTTCAACACTTTTGACCGGAGTGCCCGTAAGAAGCTGCATGAATGTGAACGCGGGAGATATTTCACAGCGTGAGACAAAAGTGTTCAAGCACCGATGGGTGGAACGAAAATGATTGCGTTAACAACAATCATCGATTGAAAAGATCAAATAATGTATATGGAGAAAAAACTAGAGGATATGTATATAATTTTGCAAGATCATTTTTATTATCAACAATCAAGGGTTCAAGAGTCTTGAGTCCAACAATATAACCATTTTTCTATTACAAAGAGGTTCTATTTATAGTGCTTTGGCCGATGTTGTGTCCATTGAATCAGAGCCACGTGGCCTCATCTCTTTGACTGAGACTTTACATCACTATCTATCATATAATAAATAAATTGACAATGGGTCAGCCGCCCTATACAATAGGCTAACACACTTGATATTCTTTATTACAAACGTTACATCAATCATTTCTAAAGATTGTCTAAGGGTCTTGTAAGAGACAATATTAGCTTCATGAGCTTCAGGTAGATTATGGGCCTCGGAGGAAGGTTCTTCTCGTGAAGAGCTTTGGCTTCTTCCATCTTTTATATCAATGATGCTAGAGGTACAGGCCTGTACCTGCCAGGCCACTCACACCATAGGTGGGTGGGAGGAGAGATTTTTGCTAATATTTTAATCATGTGGGGCCAATACATGTGAGAGAAATTTTGAAATCCTGTAAAAAAATTGTAAAAACATTCCTGTACTTCAGGAATTATTGCTTTTATATAGCACTTTGGATTACGTACTTCAGCTGTTTAGACAGTGCTTCGGCTTAAGAGCTTCAGCCATTCATATGATTTCTTCACCTTAGTGGTGTCAATGGGCAGAGCCGGCTCAGCCCATACTCGCACGAGCTGAGCTCGCTCGGCTTGTTTCGTTTTGGGTGAGCTCGGATCGTGCTCGAGCTCGCCCAAGACGAGCGGCTCGGCGAGCCGGCTCGCCATTTTTTTTAATTTTTTTTACACTACTACAACTAAATCTTAAATTCAAAAAATATATATATGCACATTTTTTTTAAATATACATTTTTCAAAATATTTATCGGGGCTCGTCAAAACATTTATAATTTTTAAAATAGTAAATATACATTTATTT